CGCGCATACGGACGGTCCTCGACTTACGAGCACGAACCGTTCCGCGGGGAACGGTTCGTAAGTCGGAACACAATAATGCACCGTATTTAAATGCCCACAAAAACGACAAAGGTCTGGTTCATAGCGTAGCGCGCTAACCGCTACACTTCCGCTGCCCTTATATGCCCACACACACAAACACTCACTCCCAGCACGAGGCCGACTCATCACATCCATACTCTTTGGTTCTTTCGGTAAAGTCACGTAGGTAGAAACATAATAGATCACGACGTTTCGATCGCAACACAAGCAACCGTCATCAGGTGGGACAACCCACAGCAAGAAAAAAACTGCTGAAGTTTTCAGCGGTTTTTTTCAGCAGTACTTCAGCAGTTTTTGCTGTGGTTGTCCCACCTGATGATGATTGCTTGTGTTGCGATCGAAACGTCGTGATATATTATTTTTCTACCTACGTTGACTTTACCGAAAGAACCACAGAGTATGAATTCCTGCAGTCACGAAAGCTTCAAATCAAGATCATCACATCTTGCGGAGGACAAAATAGTTCCGCGGTTTAATTTGCAAGTGAGAGTTTGCGTTTTAAGTCGATGTCACTAAGCAAATATTTCATGGAAGTTGCTTCGTAAGTGTGGGGTGTTCGTAAGTATGGGTGTTTGTAAGTGCGGGGTGTTCGTAAGTCGGGTGTTCATAAGTCGGGTACACTGTATACTGACAGCCCGCGCTTGCATTATTAGCGCTACTAAATCCCGTGCGATGAAGTGGGCATCGAGGGTGGCTGGCTTGTGATGTCGCTCCGGTAGATTTCCCCATTTTGTGTTGATGGTCGTTTGCTACGGAAAACGGGCCAAAGCCTTAACGCGTCAAGAACGAAAAAAAACCCAGCGAGATGGTGCACGTTAATAGAAATAATACAGGAGAACACTCTCATAACGATGGTAATTGGTTCCCCGTAGCCAGTTGTTAGGTGATTTGGTCGTTAAGCGAGTATAGGAAATGCATGTTAAAGACTTTATTCGTTCTGATAGCATCGAATATTACCCTTCTTCACCCAAATAAATGTGAACATTGGATATTAACACGTAAAGATACTAACAACATTATAAACACGTAATAAATATTAATCGACTCGTACAAACTAGAGATGTATATCCAGAATGTTGAAATTATTTCGCACGCCGTACGTAGCCGTGCTGTGCCGATCGGAGGCGCGGGGGAAGGACACCATCAAGCTATGTGTCTCTGTGCGAGTCGATGGGTCTCTGTGCGAGTCGATGCACGTACGTGTGAACGTCTTTCGCGCGTGCCGTGCGTGACCGTAGCGTCCTGAGCGGAGGTGCGGTGGTGGGGGGTAGAGGGCTGGGTAGCCGTACAATAAAGATTGAGAGTCACTGCTTCAACCACTGACCCACTCGGCCAATTTCTGCTTTATTGGTGTCCACAAAAACAATGGCCTGCCATGCGAGGTTTATAAATCAGAATTATTTCATAGGCCTTCAATGGCAGCCGTTATAACCGCTCGCCAATTTTATTTTAGGGATTCTCGGTGACCAGTGCGGATGGGTGGGAGCAGCAAGTTGAAGGTTTTTTTATTGATTGCGCTGCGTCCGCACGGTGCATCGTTAGGGTTATTTGTTTGTTTCCGTAACGTCGGGAGGCGGGGTGTGCGAGTGCTGTATCTTCTGTCGCTTGGGGGACGCCGCGCTCGCTTGTGTGGGTTTGAGGCCTCCCGTTCGTTTCATTTTCCATTGTTGCGGCAGGCAGGCAGGCTGGCTGGCTGGCTGTCAAGAGCGTGGATTGTGATATAATCATTGCGCTTCTGGCCATCGGACGTATGTACGTACGTTGGTCTTCTTTCGCACCGTACGTAGCCAACCGTGCTATGCTTGTGTATGTATGTTGAACTTCTTTTCCACTGTACGTAGCTAACCATGTAAATGTATGTATGTTAAACTTCTTTCGCACCGTACACAGCCAACCATCATATGCATGCGCGTCTGTTGAATTTCTTCCGCACCGTACATAGCCGTCTGTGCTAATCGGAGGTGCGGGGGGAACACATCCTGCAGTGATTCGTCTTAGGAAAGTGCGGTTTACGTGCGCTCAGGGTGTGCGAGCGTCCCAACGATACCAGTGTAGAACAACAGCAATGTTGTTTTGAATAGTGGCCATAACTTTATAATCGGCAGTAAACAATGGACACTTGTTTGCTTCCATTGTGTAGGATTCGCGCAGATATACGTCCGCAATAGCTGGCAGTTGCCGGATGGCTGTCGCGGTGGCGAGATGTTACCTCCTTCACCTGGTATACAGGAGGTCGTGGGTTCGATCCTGACCCTGACGCCTGCTGCTGTATATTTCGAGTTTGCGGTGTCATCCTCTCTCCCCATGGTCGCGTGCATGTTTCTCCGAGCTCCCGCTCCGGTTTTCCCCTCCACATTTAGAATCTACGTCACGCCTTCAGAGTATTTGGCTGCTGTGCATTTCCACACGATAAGCCACCTTGTTGTTGAGCTATCATTTGCGATAGCCAGGTCGCTTCTGAAAAAGAGCTATGCAGCTCAGAGGGCCTTACCTGGTAAAAAATAAAAATAGGTTAGTTTTAGTTTTTAGTAACGTCTGCTTGGAAACGGTGGCTGAGGTTACGGTCGCCGAGGAAAGGGAGCGGTGAAATCGGTTTGCGGGAAGGGGAGGCCTTCATCCAGCAGTGGATTGACCGTGGCTGCGAATGACGATGATCGTTATCTTTCAGCGGTGTCATCCGTTCGGAGTAGAGTACAAAGAACACTCTAGATTGAATCCGTTCTCACCAGCAGCATCATCAGCAGCAGCGGCGGCGGCTATGATGAATCCACTGCTGGATGAAGGCCTCCCTAAGCCATTGCGATGTATGATGGCCCTTTGGTTTAACAGTCCTATCGAGGAGATGGGCCATCAAACCCCCCCTCGTTTCTGACGGTCGGCCTCCGGCATAGCTGGCGGAGCACCGCTGTTGCACACGTGGCTGACCGTGCCCGGCGACGGGGTTTGTTCTATTTTGGGTTTGTATACAACCTCGTCATGAGCTTTTCACAGGTGTAACCATGGTGGGCTCTCGCATGATCTCAGGCGCGCGGTTATTGCCGCAAATCAGATTAATTGCGCACCTGAGATTTTGACCTAAATTTATAATTAGTGGATTTTTTTCTTGAGCCAAAATTCATGTTTATTAAAACAGTTGTACATTGTTATTCTTGGAAATGTTTAATACAAATCAAGTGTTTAAACTGAACACATATGTTGCTCCGATTCATCCGAAATCCACCTAAATGCCTCTATAGTACAGGAGTTGCATATCTTTACAACAGTGGGGCGGAGTTTGATTGATGTTCATTGGCGTGGCTCTGCTATCATCCACTAAGCGGGCGGGAGTCTTCTGCTCGGTGGGAGCCAGGAAAGTGTTATCACTGAGCAGGCACGCGGATCATCGACCGGTCGACCGTTAGCTTTTGGCATGGAAATCCGTGGAAATTTATATTTTTGGATTATCCGCGATTTTGAATTATCATGCGGCTGTCCTCCCCATCATTGGCGCGGATAATCGAGAGTCTACTGCGTATAAATAGATATAGAGAGAGAACGTTTATCTCCCATGTGGGGGGGGTGGGAGTCGGTTGTCTTCTCGCGGTCGCCCCACCTGTCACACGTTGTTCGTGTTTTTTCGCGTCGCCTTAAAGCCGCCGTTGATTTGAATCGGAACGAACTCTGCATTGCCGGACGCGAGAGCAGGATCCAGCCTCGTCGTTGTGCTTTGATGGCAATGTCACCCGATGATTTTGGGCGCAGTGCTTAGCACTTTTGCACTTGACTAACTGCGCTCGATTGCTTTATTTTTTTGCACGGATAAAAACAGAGATGAGATAGCCGCGTGCCTGAGACACCCAGTTAGTTAGTTCAGCCCCTATGGAACACGAGGCCGCAATGAGCTCCCTCCCACTTCTTCCTGTCCTTGGCGACGTGTTGAGCCTCGCCCCAAGAGAGGCTGATCGCTGCCACCAGCTCCGTCCTTCACCGTCCTCTGCCAGGCGGTCTCGGCTCTCCCAGGTCTCCTTTTGCCCGGTGGTGTCGGGGACATTTTTTGGTATTCACCTCAAGCCGTCAGGGGCGAGGGGGTTGATGGCCTATCACCTCGATGGACCGTTAAACCAAAGGGACCATCGGAGGTGGCCGTGGCTTTTCCTGCACGGATAACATCAGCGGCGAGTGATCTCTCAACCGCTCCTGGGCCCCCCTCCCACGACCCCACCGCCACCCCACCCTCGACCAACCGGCAAGTGGCCCAGGCTTGGTGGGTCAAGGTATGGTCACGCGGCCTGCACGACCGACAGAGCGTGGGGAGAGGCTTTCATCCAGCGGTGGATTCACAAAGGGGGGCGTAAAACTTGGGCAGCGTCCGCACATGGTGCCGAAACGTTCCGGCGCGTTAATAAACATGTCGGAGGAATTGGTGTTTCTTGCTCGCGTGTGCCGTGGGAGAATTGTTTTGCCCACCAGCCAGGAATAAAATGTTTCCCGCATGAATAATATTGTGAGTGTTCGAGCTGTGTTATTTACACGCTCGGCAATGCCGGTGCTTGTAGTGCTTTAAAATAATAAATTGCGACCTTGCAGCCGTTTGTCGCAATCCACTGCTGGATGAAGGCCTCCCAATGCTGTGTCGGTAGTGGGGCCTGCTTGATCATACTTCGCCACGCTGGTCGATGCAGGTTTGTGAAAGGGCGCCCGTAGCATCGTACGCCAACCGCTGCGCCACCACTCCCCCCCCCCCCCCCCCCCCCCCGCCGAACCTGTTCATACAGCGAACAACCCAAGATTGAGCGTATTGGTCTCGGACAGAATATGGACGCTGGCATGTCCGGTCTGCTCAGCACCCGAGTCTTGATTGAGAGCCGTTCGTATTGAACGTTGAATTGCACGTTTTAAAGCTGTGCTCAACCCCCGTTTGCTTTTTGTTTCCCTCGCAGGATATCGAGCGCTCCCCAGGCTCGCGATGGCCCCGGCAAGATCTCCATGACCGATAGCGAGAAGAGAAGAGAGAGGGAGAGAGAGAAAGCCCCGACCTAATTCACGACAATAAGGTTCATGCCTTGCGCGTTCCCCGCCCGGCAATAAAAAAAATTAAGGCGGGGCGGGGGGGGGGGGTGGCGGGCGGGCGGGGGTCGAACAACCGCGTAAAAAATCGAGTTATGAAAAAAATTAGCCGGTCCTTGCGAAAGTCCTTCCACCTGAAGAGGAGCCGAGAGGAGGAGGAGACGGCGCCGGGAGCCTGCCACGAGCACGAGGGGCGGGAGGCCGCGACTGGCGTCGTCGTCCGTGGCGACGGAGGGGCGGACGGCGACGAGGACGACGCGAAGGGCCGAGCGAAGGGCGGCGAGGGCTTCATGGGCACCCTGCGGAGGCGCCTCTCCTCCAGGCAGAGGGGCCGCGGGAAGGACGGCGACCGAGCGGCCCCCTCCCCCCCCGCGGCGGGGGCGGCCGCCGTCACGTGGGCCGGCGTCCCCTCGCCCGTCCCCGCGCCGCCGACCAACGGCGAGCGGCCGCCCCGGGCCCGCTGGTCTCCCGCGTCGGCGTCGTCGTCGTCGTCGTCGCCGTCGTCGCTGTCGCTGTCGACGGGCAGCCGCAGCGACCCCGCCGCGTCCCCCCCCTTCTCCGCGTCCCCGCCGGAGGCGAACGGCTCGAGGCGGGGCGGGGAGGCGGGCCGCTTGGCGGCACGGGCTCCTGCCGCGGGCGCGGATGTCGCGCCCCGACCGCACGCCCGCTCCGAGGGCCGCCGGTGCGACGGGCTGAACGAGAACGTGCCGACGGACGACGGAACCGCCGCCGCCGCCGCCGCCGCCGCCGGAGTGCCTTTTCCCGAGTCTATGCACGCCAGGATGGAGTGCGGCGGTGGCGGCCTCCGCCTGGAGCTGAGGCTGCCCGGCTCGCCGACGGCAAACGGCCTCGACTGCAACGACAACCCGACGGGGCCGCGCGTCCCCGGGGCCGACGCGGGCCCGGGGGACTTTTCCGAGGCGCGCAAGGCCGACGTCGAGGACATGGAGGAGGAGGAGGAGGAGGAAGAGGAGGAGGAGGAGGAGGAGCGCAGCTCGCCGTCGTCCTGTGCAATGCTGCAGTCCGAGTCCGACCTGGAGGACCGGGGCACGCTGTGCAAGGCGAACGACAATTTGCCTCCCACGCACGCGCCGGACGAATACCGCGACGTGTCGGCCGGCGGCACGGGCACCGAGGATGCCGTGCCACCGCCGGAGGAGGCAGACTCGCGCCGCGGTACGGGAGCGGCCTGTGCCAACGGCGCGGACCGCTCGCACGTCGACGCGCAGCGCGACCGGAACGTGAATCTGCCCGGCGGCGCCGCGCGGCCGGGGCCGCGCGGCTGCCCCTTGGCGGGGCCGCGCGTCGCGCCGTGCGACGGCGGCGTCGGTGACGGCACGGGGACGCGGCGTCCGGGCGCGGGACGCTCCCCGGGCGAGCGCCGCGCCGGGCCGGGCGCGGGAGCGGCGCCGCTGGACACGGGGGGCCGTGCCGCCGGGCGCTTGCCGCCTGTACGAGGGCGCCGGCAGGGCGGCGGCCACCAGCCTCACGGAGGAGCTGAAGAAGCTGGCGCGGCACGGCTGGTACTGGGGGCCCGTGACGCGGCAGGAGGCGGAGGAGAAGCTGGCGGCGCTGCCCGACGGCGCCTTCCTGGTGCGCGACAGCTCGGACGAGCGCTACCTGCTGAGCCTGAGCTTCCGGTCGCGCGGGCGCACGCTGCACACGCGCGTCGAGCACTCCAACGGGCGCTTCAGCTTCTACGAGCAGCCCGAGCTGGAGGGCCACGCTTCGGTGGTGCAGCTCGTCGAGAGCTCGGTGCGCGACTCGGAGATCGGCGCCTTCTGCTACTCGCGCTCGCGCTTCCCCGGCTCGGCCACGTACCCCGTGCGGCTGACGACGCCCGTGTCGCGCTTCATGCACGTGCGCTCGCTGCAGTACCTGTGCCGCTTCGTCATCCGCCAGAGCACGCGCATCGACCTCGTCCGCAGCCTGCCGCTGCCCAACAAGATGAAGGACTACCTGCAGGAGAAGCACTACTGAACGGCGCCGCCACCGCTCAAGGTAGCGTCACGCCCCCCCCCCCACCCCCCCCCCCCCCCCCGCTCAACGTGCGTGCGGGTCGAGCCGCGTGGCGCAAGGCCATCACGGCGCGCACGAGCGCGACGGCTCCGGCGGGGTTTTTCGGACCTGTGCGGTGGTTTCGCCGGAGGAGGAGGAGGAGGAGGAGCGACGTTGAGACCGCGCAGCAGCTGTGAACAAATCGAGTTAGGAAAAAAAATAAAAAAAATGTCCGCGCGCACCAATGATGCAGGACGTGTGGGGGAAAGTCACGTGACGATCCGGTGCGGGTGGTGGCAGGCTCGCTGAACCCGGCCCTGGGTCATCGGGAGAGCAGCAGCAGCAGCAGCAGCGAGACTTAAAATCAAAACTGTCGCAAACGTTTGACTGTCAGAGATGTCGTTGCAAGCGGCGACTCGGCGTGGGGGCGTGGGGGCGTGGGGGGAGGGTGTCGAGGGTCGTGCCGCGGAGGAGAGAGGAAGCGGGAGCCGCGGCGCTCAGGCGACGAGGAGGCTTCCGCGATTGGCTCGGAGCCACCGGACGGAGCCGAAAACGCTGCCACACGGCGCGGCGAGCAGGGGAGAGACGCTGTGACAGGGTGAGCGGCAAAAGCGGCGGCAGCCGCCGCTCACCGCCGCAGTGAGCAAAGCCGCTCGTTCCCGCCCCCCCCCCCCCGCAGTGTGCCGCTCGTCGTTTTGGATGTCGTGGCTGCAGAAGTGCGAGTTGAGAGACGGCGAGAATGAATTTTTGACGTGAAACGTACGGGATGTTGTTTTGTGGAAGTCGGGCCCCGGGCAGGTTGGGGGGGGGGGGCAGGGCGCAAATGAGCTGTGTGGGTGACATCCTGCGTCGCTTTTGTTTCTCTCGGCGCGAGTGGTCAATGCCAGTATATATTTGAAACGTTCTTTTACCTGTACGTTGGAGCCAGCATGAGAGATTAAAAGGCACGTTTACATTCACTATCCTCGCGTTTTCTCGTGCGTATACGTGCGTGTCTCTGAAGGCGGCAGCGAGCCGGATGTATGTATGGTATGTACGTTGAATTTCTTTCGCACCCCACATAGCCAGCCGCGCGAATCGGAGGTGCGGGTCTATCACGCTTCAACGGTGAACGTCGTACACAGAAGTTCACCGCTTGAATTTGTTTAAATTATTTGGTGAGGGCTGCAGCAGCCGCCGTTGGTAGTGGGGGGGGGGGGGGGGGGGGGGGGGGGTGTTGGTGCACAAACGAGACACCATTTATATTTACGCGATCTGACCCAACAAACCCCCCCCCCCCCCCATTAGAAACCAAACGCCAAAAGCAATTCGAGAGAGGAATTTGCTTTGAAGAACGCAACAATAACAACAACAACAGAAACGTGGGAGCAGACCTTGTAATTTCAGTTTGTTAGAAAAATTTCTCCCAGAGTTGACGGTGCAGAGGCGAGTAACCCCGCCATCCGCCGGAAGGTTATGCCGATACATTCTTCCTTCGATGTCATTCACTCGCACGATAAGGCCATTGTCTTCTAACGTCATACGCCGATGCATAAAATTAAACCACGGCCGCAAACTCGACGTAATAACTACGTTTTTCCCCGTGTCCCTTTTTCAAGAACGAGTTCATTAATTCTCAGGCGGGGGAGGGGGAGACGGCTCACGCCTAATTAAACAGAGGACGTGCATTTTCCCACGTTTTCAAGTGTCTCCATCTGTCATTCGTGCCCCTATTATCCCTGAATAGCAAATAATAAACTATCTCGCCCGGTATGCAGGAGTTCGTGGGTTCGATCCCGACCCTTTTTCCCAGCGGTCGCGTGGATTTTTCTCCAGGCCCCTCCGGTTTCTCCCTTCGAATTTTAGAATCAAGGCGCCTTATAAGAGTGCTTGCAGACTAAAGATTTCCGCGCGTGAAGCCACTTGGTTGAGCGATTGTTTGTGATAGCCAGGTCGCTCCTGAAAATTACCTATACATAGCTCGGTGGGGCCTTCCCCTGTGAAATAAAGAAATGGTTCACTTTATCAAAATAGTTTGAATAGTTGCGAATGTCTCGAATGTCGGCGACGGTCGGCTCGCGGCGCCGAACTCCCGCGGGCGCTCTTCGGCAGGTGCGCTACTAAATAATTAACGGAGGCGTTTAAAGTTTAAAAAAAAAAATCTCGCCGTGCCGAGCAAAGCACCCCCCCCCTCAACCCAAACAGCCAGGCATTGCCTCTGGCGACGTTATTAACGTGCGGAGGACGTCGGCACGCTTAACTGCGACTTCAACAGCGCGCCTCCAGAGATTTGTTGGACTCTCTTTTTTCGTCGTCGTCGTCGTCGTCGTTGTTGTTGTTGTAAACGACCGTGCCCGCAATGCGAGTTTTTAGTTTTTTTATTCTTGTTGCAAAAAAAAAAAATGTTTACGGCGACGGCAAATTAAACTCGAGCGGACGCGTCCTGCCGCCTTTCCCCATTCCCAGCGGCAGCTTTTGAAGCGCGGCTGCCGGCGGCCAAGTAGTGACCCCCTCCGGGACCATCGGTGGCATTCCACAAGCGGGAGGGGGAACGAAAAGCGACTTGTAGAGCCAACGAGCCATGCGGCTATTAACTACCGCCCGCCACCAACAGACAAAGATATCCCCCCCCCTCCCGTACAGCTTTAACAGACTTTTCGGGGCAAGTGCTGGAGGCCCGTCGTTAAGCGATTAGTCGTGAACCTGGTTGGTCGTTAAGAGGGGTTCTTCTGTAGTGGCCTAGGAAGGCCCTGCACGGCACACACGACGGGGGTGGGTGGCCAACACCACGCGCCAGGCCGTCTTTGTCTCCCCAGTGGCGCCACCACTCCCCCCCCCCCCACCCATCCGTGCGCACGCGATTCAAAATATATATTTTTTAAACAGTCAACAACACTGTGTGGCCTTGAAAGAAAATGCGTAATTGAGCGCGTATGTATTTATGTGCGTATGGAGAAGTGCCACTGCCCGGAACTCCGGCTTCTTACCGTCAGCAGGAGGGTGTGGGTTCGAGCCCGAACCAATCTTGGCCCTGGCTCCAGGCCCTCGATATTGAATGGAGCTGAATATAACTCTGACGACATTTACGTCCCAAGGGAACGCGACTGTCGATGAGATGGAGCGACGAAATCCGCTTGTGTGCAGCCGCTCGGCAGATTATTTAATCGCAGGGTTGTGAGCGACGGTGACCTTGGAGGCCTTCATCCAGCAGTGGATCGATCACGTCTGGCGATGATGACTCGCGTGCCAACGCTAAATCGCCTTTAAAACGTCTACATATTATATATATATTTTCCATTTCTCTCTCTCGGTTGTATTCTATTTGAGCTATCGACCATCGTGTTATGAGACTAAGAATCTATCCATCCCAACCCTAATGGTGAGCAGTGCACCTCTCGTCTGCTGGGGAATTATAAAACAGATCTCCGCGTAATGTGATTTCATTGATCGGGGAAATAAGTCAAGATCAAGATGTCATCGAGCATATACGTGGTGAGTGAAATCTTGATGCATAGCCAGGTGAGAGCCCCTTGGAGACCGCAAGTGAGCACTATTGGAACAACTATTTACACTGGAGGAATATCGATGAGCTATATAAAGTTATTTTTCACGGATGCCCAGTAGAACGTTACAACAACAAACGATGCGAAAAAAACCAGGATAGGAGTGCAAATTATAGGAATGGTAAACATATCACCTAAAAATATATATATACTTTGTTATTTCGGTAAAGTCATGGAGATAGAAAAAAAAAATTAAATGTATTTAAATAAAAATTAAATTTATTTTAATTTATATTAAATTTTTATTTTCTATCTACGTGATTTTATCGAAAGAACCAAGAATATGAATTCCTGCAGTCACGAAAGTTTTAAGTAAAATTTTTTAAAATATATATACGGTAAAACCTTGGATTGCGAGCATAATTCGTTCTGGAAACGTGTTTGTAATCCAAAGCACTCGTATATCAAAGCACTCGTATATCAGTTGTGATCACGTGACGCTCGGCAGACAAAGCGTATACGTACTACTCGCATTGCAAGACCTCGCTCGTTTATCAAATTAATATTTAAAATTGCTGCTCGTCTTGCAAAACACTCGCAGACCAAGTTACTCGCAATCCAAGGTTTAACTTTGTATATACGTTTCTTTTAAGGGAAACCTACAAGAGTGAATTCCAGATTGAATAGAAAAGCAGTATAATAAATAAATCGCCTCAAGCTTACTGTAAACCATGTGACCTGTGTGCCTGGCCACTCCCACTCTGAATACCTCCACCACCCCCCCCCCCGCCCCCTGCGAAAACAGACGCTGCTTCCTACAGCTCACTGCTCATTCGTTCTCTTTTCCTCTTTTACCGTCTCCCCTCTCATCATCGTGATCATCATCATGATCATCGCCCTATCACCCCCGACACCTTGACCCGGTCGTTCCTTCTCCCCCTCCTCCCCATCCTGCCCGGTGCCCCCGCCCCCCCCCCCCCCCCCCCCCCCCCCCACTTCTCTCTTCCTGCTGCTCATCTTGAGCCGTGGGCCCCTCTTTGTCCATCTTGGGGAAACTTCTGTCCCGGCCTCACTCCCCTTCCCTGCCCCGCTCCGTTCTCTTCTCCCCAATCGTTGCCGTCCTTGACCCCACCTCCCTCCCCTTTCCGTGGTGTCGCCACGGCTGAACGGTTTCGTATTTAGTAGTTATTTTTTTTAGCCCGGCGAAACTAAACCGACAATGTACTCGACACGTCGGTAAGTCGAATACGTGGAACGCAAGTGGCCCACTAACGCTTGTGCTTAGGCACGGTCCGCATTCCATCCTCGGCAGGTATCTGTTGTATAAATCCGCGTGTACACGTTTTAAATGAGTTGCATCGTTCCGTGACAAACGCTGGCTGTTACCCAGTGGCGCGGACGCACAATGAGCCATCAGGTTGCAGAGCTGCGGAACAGCTTTTTGTATAATGCCTACCTGTGAAGCTTAATCCAGTCAACAGATGGCCGTGATAACCAGCGGCCACGGAAGCAGAATGGAAT